TGTGTCTACTGAGTACCAACGTTTTTATGGATGTTAATTACCCCTCTTCGATCGCATTTCTGACTGTAAACATATTTCCTTAGATGTACCGCGGTAGTAATTTTGCTTTTTACATGTTTGAATTAATTTATAAATATCCATTAAAAACATAAAAAAAATGTCCAGCATTTTACAGTTTTTTTTTTTATCGTTACGATGCTCAATTTATTGGCTTATTTTTCTTTAAATAAGCCACCGCTTTCGAAAGCACCGACTCTAGAATGGCAGACAAGGTTCATTCTACTTAGAATATCATACACCACATGCGGATCCACGGAGGGAGATTTCGGGCTGAAGCTCCCCCTCCCCAAAATGTAACCATTTTTGTGGTAAAAAATGATCTCTTAAAGTATTATTGTTCGTGTAATGACATTTAATAGGACTTCAAGAATCACTTAAACACCATTTCATATAGTTAGTTAGTACCTTTCTTTTTTTCCCAAATTAATTATCGTTATATATATGACAAAAAAAATTTCAAACTGAAGTCTCCTTCTCTCCCCAAAAGAAAGTAAATCCTGGATCCGCTAGTGTCATAGTTTAGTAGTTTACATTCAAAACTTCTCTTAAAATGAGTACCCTTTTTAGAAATATTTAGTCCCTAAAATTTCATTCAGTAAATTACAAACATTTCGCCATTTTACATATAATCGGAAATGAAATCCTCAGGATTAGTGCAAATTTGAAATATATAAGTTAAAACGCTGAAAGAAAATGAAGTATCATTTAAACAAAAGAAACAATAAGGTCGATAGTTAGACAACAGTGTTTCCTCATGTTATTACTTGTGGGAATCGCCAATTACATCGAATTGAGTCTTATCAATTTTCACAGTAGTTTTTAAATTTTTGACTTTTCGAAAAATGAAAACAAGATATAGACGGGAAACGAAACCAGATTGGGTTGACGCTTTGCAAAGTAATCCATTTCATATTCATAAAGCGTGGTAAATTTATGCATGAGCTTGCCCAGCAGCTGTCTGCTTTGGAGTCATTGAGCTCTTTGAAGACGTTCCGAAATATCTCCCCTCAACTCTAAGCCCCCAACATGAAATTATTATTACGGGCTAACGGTCATGATTAAGAATTTATACTTCGAAAAATCAAAACATAATAGTATTGAATCATTTCGCTATTTGATGAGAATTAAGTTTCATAACATTACTAGCGGAGGTTGTGTAAAGTAATCAGCGATTACTTTTTACTTTCACTTACCTATATATGAAATATATAGTAAAAGAAAGTATTGCGATTGGGAAAATTTTCGAATCTCAGTTTTCAACAGAAATACACGTTTTGAGGTCCCCTGAGTCCAAATAACCAAGTCCCACAAAATTAACAGTCTAGCTCAAAAAATGAAAAGTCTTACGAAAGTGAAATTGCATATTTATGGTTTTTATATGCTAGGGATGTTGTTAGGGATATCGTATTTGTTTCTTCAGCTATATTTGAAAAAATATAGGTCGACTAAAAATTGAAAAATAAATTTTAAAATTAAACAGGGGAATAGTTACATTTTTCTCTACTGCCTACTTACTCTAGACATTAAATTTGACAAATGATAGTATATATTATTATAACGCTTAAACATCTTAGTGAACATATGTATATCATTTCTTTTTTTTTACAATTTATTTCTTTATATATCAACTGTTATTTTATTTTTATTTATTTATTTTTTATATGCCATCACTGCAATGCTTTGCCTATAAAATTGATTTTGGGTTCCTTTCTAATTTCATTTAGTGAATATTATGCTATTGTTATAGCTCCAATATTGTAGTATTGAACCCCTATTAGCTAACTGTTCTCGTTAATATATCCTAGTGCTCTCGATCAATCTCCGCTGGCTTTAGTACCAGTGACGCGGTTGAGAGAGTAGCGCAGGGTTCTCCTGGAGTTCCCTCGCCTGATTGTATATAGGTATATATACACGTGTTATTTTATTTTATTATCTATTTTATATACTTTTTATTGTTATTTTGTTTCTATTTATTTCATTTTATTTTTTTTGTACCTATAGTGTGATTGTCATCCTACCTCACTATAACCAATGTCCAAGAGACAGATTGTTGTAATATTCAATAAAGAAATTTAAAAAATATATCCTAAGAGCTATTATACTTAATTTATTACTAGTATTTTGTTATTATTTATTGTAATAGGCCTTTGGCTAGATTTATTGTTAATTTATATGAGCAAAACTGTTATTCTTAAGAAGCCTAGTCCCAGAATAAACATGATTTTCTATTTCTATTTATCATTCGAGTAAAATCGTAATGGATTTCCAAGATAAGTTTTATTTCTTTTTTCTTTGTTCGTGAATTTAATCTCCGAACTACATCCAAGTTCTTCCAGTCTGTTTTGTAAAAATCCTATTCTCTAGCTATTATGTTATTTTCTTTGTCCAAGAACCAGATAAAACATAGAAGGTTAAAACTATTACTACTCCACAAAGTGAACTAAAAGAAGGAACAATAAAAAAGAAACAAAATAAACAAGAGCAGCCAGGATGAGCTGAGATAAAGGGAAGAGGAAGGAACTCCATTTAGCCGATCGGAAGGAAGGAAATAGCTTTCCAAGTGCTCTTCTTTCAGGACGAGGGTTCAAAGCCGTCATTATATATAATATACACAATTTTTATTTTTTACAGTTTCATGATGAAATTCAAAATAATTTCCTTAACAAGCAACATCCTTCTTATTTGCGATAACATATATTCAAAGGGCAAAGTGGGGGAGAAGGAAGGAGGAGATAGAATCACGAAAATGAAGTAAATATTACCAGTAGAGAATGCAGGATTTAATTTTGAGGTGTGGGGGGATACTTCATTCTGGAAGATATATATATATATATATATATATATATATATATATATATATATATATATATATTTGTATATACCGATAATTACATACAATTAGAAACAAACGAAATGCCTACATAAAATGATTCTTGAAGCTCTATTACAAAAAAAGTGTAATGTGATATTTTTTTTATATTTTATTACATTTAACAATTACACAATTACAAGATGATAATGAGGCCTATTTGAGGTTAACAGAGTTAAGCCTGAAGGCTTCACTAAACCATTGCATTCCTCTTTCATCTAATCCTTACAACCCTAAATCTCTCGTAAAATCATCAGTGTTCCTTATTTAATAATTGGTCCAATATCGTCTAATTCGGATACCTATCCTTCCATAGTAAATTTCAGAATGATCCGAACAAATTTGTTTCTAAACTTATTTAGTTTTCGATTCCTGATAAACCTCCAAGCCGTCCGAAAAGAAAATGTCCCCGGGACCTCCTCATGCAGAACTTTAGTTGGAGGGCTACCAGTGGATATTTTCTAAGCAAGTCATTTCATGACATTATATTTCTCTGATTACATTTACTGGTTGTATTTGTATTTTAATAAGTTTTAATATACTTTCGAGGAAATGAAAAAAATTGTATTAATAAAATGCTTGGAGCATGTCTTGACTACAGAATGTATCCTTAGACTTGAAGGACTAAGAAGACCTTATTGATTGCTTTAAATCAAGTTATGAACTTCTTCAACGCCCTTCTCCCAACGATAATGGAGTTTCCAGGAAGTGTAGCTTCCGGGGCGACATCTGTAATACAAATCTTGAAATATCTTGTGACGGTCCTGTGATTGATTTTGGTTGATGTCTCACAGAAATTAGATTAATTTCTCAATAATATCAAATTCCTAATTATACAATCTCATATTCCAAAACTAAATTAAAGTAGTTGTATAGAATCAAGTATGTTTTTGGGACTCAACTTTTTCCTCTCTGCTTCGCCATTTTTTTTTTCGTAGATTTGAATATGTTTGAAGCCTCTATAAGTCCTCATTTTTTGAGTTAAATGGTTGAAAATGTATGTTAAATGCATATGTGTGTTAGAACATATTTGATTTAATATACTAATATTAATAATAATTAATGCGATCCGGAAACATGGTTAAAATTGATTTAGTATAAATACTTGAGTTTTTATTTCTATAATAAATTGAAGTAATTACCTTAAAAATAATAAAAACTAAAATGAATTATTGAAGGAAGCTTGTCGACTGTTCTACATATCATAAATATTCAGGACGCAGTCATTACTATTTTTTTTTTATTTGTGCCGACGTTTCAACCCAAACATATGGGACATCGCCAGGGCTGAAAATTTTAAAATACAATCATAGATTTAATATTATACGACCAATAATGTTACATAATAAACTGTAGTGATTGATCGTACATGAATCTTAACTATTATTACAATATAAAATATTAAAAATGAAATATGTAAAAAGTTATACAAACTAAAAATTAGTAAGAGAAAATATTACATATTACATATATCCATAATTTTTATAAATGGATTATATACATTATTTTTAGTTTGCATCACTTTCTATATATTTCATTTTTAATATTGTGTATATCAGATTTGGCCCAATCCAGATATCTGTCCTTCCATAATAAACTTCATAACCATTCCAACCCTCTTGTCTCTAACCTTGCTCCCTATTCGATTCCTGATAATCCTCCGAGGCGTCTGAAAAGAAGATGGCCACGTGATCTTCTAATATAGACATATTAAGAGAGTGCTACCAATGGGTAGTTTCTCAACATGTGTTCCATGTCATTATATCCATGTGCGAATTTACCAGATGTATTTTTTATATACAGTTGTAAATATCATATAAATAAATAAAAATAAAAATAATATTGTGTATTGTAATAATAGTTAAGAGTCATATACCATCAATCACTATATTTTATTATTTACCATTATCGGTAGTATAATATTATATCTCTGATTGTATTTTAAATTTTCACCCCTGATGATGACCCACATGTTTGGGTTGAAACGTCGGCTCAAATAAAATAATTTTTACAATGACTGCGTCCTGGATATTTATCACCCATGATACAAATTAAAAAATAAAATATTCACCAGAAGGTTGGGCCACGTGTTCTCGGAAAGCTGATGATACGGTTTCATATGTGTCATGTGGACTATTCTTCGAATCCATCGGGTAAGGGTCACTCAGGCTGTCTCTGTAACGAAAAGAATTAATTTTATTAATATATTAAATAAAATATAAATATATAGAAAAATATGTTTAAATACTCCATACATTAATAAAAAAACATTGTTAAATATGGCATACGCCTCTTAGATTTATGGTTCGGCAAAAAAAGCCGCACTTACAAAAACTACAGTCGTTTCAGTCCAAAATTTTAAAACTTCTTCTTAAGGGCTCCCTGGTACGTATACAACAAAACTTTACATAACGACTTACGATAATCAACCATCGACCAACACATACGTACCCTCTACTCTCGTTTTCATCTCAAACTGTACGGGCACACAAACAGACTTATAAACGACTTGGCCAGGAATGACATGTACATCAGGAGGAGATAAAAAAGGAGCTGGATGAGAGATCTCCTCACCTAAATCAAGGAAGTAAATAATGACCAGGAAGAGATACTGCTGGGTGCTATCCTTCCTCGTGACTATAATGTCAATCATTATTTATCACAACAAATCTGCCGATTGTCAATATCATGACTGGTGCGGATAGATATTTGAAGTGAAAAAAAAAATATATGTCAAAGAAATTTATGCTTTCTGTACACATGTAACAATCTAACAGTGGATCAAAAAATGTTGGAAAATGTCTAATCTAAGTCTGCACTAATGATTGGAAATCAAATACAGACATAGATAAACTTTTTTTTTTCTTTTGCCTTTTCACTTTATGTAAATCTTTTTTCTGGCTTAAAATGCCTTCGCCATCTCTGTCTATTTTGAGCTATTACTTTCCAGTTATATGTATGCAGCTCTGTAGCATCTTCGAATCGAACAATCCATCTGGATTTTGGCCTTCCACATATTTTGTTGGTAGAGGATTTCTGGATGTTTACTTCGAGCTACATCTCTCTCTCATCTTAATGTCCTTGCCTTGCCTTGCCTCCCCACCTTCATATCATAAGATATTGATTGACTACTAAGCAGTTTTTTATTGGTCTTCCTCTTGGAGTTTTCTGATCCCAGATTGCTATGGTTATAGGGCGTAGGATTTTCCTCTCAAATACTTCAATAATTCTTTTTATGGTGCTGGTCCAAGTTCAGGTCTCGCAAAGTTATATCAGAACTAGTTTTATCAGAGCATTGTACACCCTTCATTTGAGATTTCTTGAGATTTTTTTTTTGGATTTAAATACCTTTAAAAGAAGATATGAAGCTCTGTTATACGCTTGACTATTACTGATTGCTGATATTTCATTGAGCTGATTGTGGATCCGAGGTATTTGAATTTGTCTGCACGATTTTCCTTCTGCAGATCCTGTTGTTGGGATGAGATTATCACATATTTTGTTTTATTTTTATTTACATTTATGTCGATTCATTTCCTTCCATGAACAGCTGTCATCTACATATCCTAGGATTTTTGGTAAATTCCGACATACATTTCATGTTTCTATCACCTTCACCAGAGCTAAGTAAACTGCGAATGTGTATCCCCTTGCCGCAAGCCAGTTCAAACTTTAATGTCTTCGGATAGTTCTGCTTGTAATACGACTAGATCAATCTCACCAACTTCCTGATAACTCCTAGTTCGGTTTTTTTCTTCCAAAAACAGTCCGTCCATGAAATCATCGGCTGTTTTTTTTTTTTTTTTTTTTAACTTATTTATTGAAAAATACTACAATCTGTCTCTAGGACATTTATAATAGAGTTCACAGATCACATTCACACTCTATGTACAATAAATAAAATAAATTATACAGAAAAAATATATATATACAATAAATAAGAATAAAATAACCTAAAACTAAATAAATAAAAAGAACACATACACACCTATATACAATATTTACAATTTGGCGAGGGAACTCCAAACCAGACTTGTCCCTCCAACTGTGGAGGGAAAAGTATGACTCCAGGAGTTCCCTGCACTCCTCTCTCAACCGCGTCACTTGGGCTAAACCCAGTGATGATTGAGCAAGAGTGGTTTAACCACATACACTCATGTCTTGAGTGGAGAATCTGGCCATTGCCAGAACTCCAATATTTACAAACTATAAAAGATCGCGGGGCCACTGCCGTTTTAACCTCCTTGGAGGATTATATGGATGGGTGGTGCTGGATAGAGATTGTGCAAAGGGATTTGGATGATGGGTAAGGTTCTGGTGGAATTTGGAGAATTTTGCTGGGATAAGATCTAGGACAAATGGGATATTAAGGTCATGGTGTAGGGTTTTGTTGGTTACATAGAAAGGAGCATTGATTATTGTTCGAAGGACTTTGGATTGGAAGGATTGGATGCGTTTGATGTTAGAAAATTTTGCTGTTCCCCACAATTCAAGTCCGTAAGTCCAGATAGGTTTCAGTATTGTCTTGTAGATCAGTAGCTTGTTTTCAATGGAAAGTTTAGATTTTCTGTTCAGTAGCCGGTATAGTTGTCCGTATCGTCGGTTTAGTTCCTGTCTTTTAAGTATAGTATGAGGGTTCCACGTGCTGTTTTTAAGTTGAAAAATAAACGTGTACAGTTCCAGCTGCTTTCCATCTTTCTTCGAGCACTTCTTTTAGGTTGAAAATCTTATAAACCGTCATACAAAAAAAAAGATACAAATTTTACTCCGAATTTCTGTAAGGTTGACTATAAATATAAAAGAGGAGTTTGTTAATTGCGTTTTAATAGTCGTTCAGACAATACATATAAACTGAGAAGGAATTTACTAATTCGTTACAAACTGATGGATGAAAGGACTAAAGCCAGCGTGGAAGAAATCTATCCAGACATTAATGTACATTCCCCTGGAGCAATAAGCACATTCCGACAGCAGCCACACCGCTAAGAGCAGACAAATTGACTGGTTTCTTTTTCAACCAGGCCCTCCGGGACCACTGGATATGACTGATGTTCTCAACTTCTTCATTTAAATGGTCGCTATTCAACGTACAACTTTATTGCACTGTAATATCATTATTTAGAACCTCCATTTTCTTTTATATTTATTACATTAGTGCATGCTTATTACTAATGGAGTCATTATCCAATTATTACAAGTTGGTTTCTATATTTTATTACAGAAGTTTGCCATTTTTTATGTATAATACTTGTTTTTTTTATTTTTTTTTTATGGCGTCTTCACTCGAAATGTGCTCCACACTGTATCGGGAATAGGAACGTTTACCGAACTTTTTTAAAAAATACCATTTTAAAAGTTTCCTAGGACCTCTTTTGAAATAAAAAATTTAGTCGGTTGTTGTGATTCGGTATGTAAAGTTTTCTTTACCAGGGAGCTGCTGTTATTATTCATAAAATTTTGGATTGAAATGATTGTAGTTTTTGTAAGTGCGTCTTTTTCTGCAGAACCGTAAATTTGTGAGGCGTATGTCCATATGGGTTTGACTAGATAAGCGAATGTATTTAGTTTTGGTCTGATTTTCAATTTTGAATAGGAAAAAAGGGAGTATAGTATTTTCAGTCGTTTGTTTAAAGTCTTACGTTTCATTATGACATGTGGCCCCCAGGCCATCCTGCTGTCGAATAATAGCTCAAGAAAACGTACAGTGTATGTCGTCGTGCCTATCTAAATCCCACTCCCACGTATTTTTATACATTTTTGTTTTATATGCTAATAAAATTGTTTGTTGTTTCATAAGTTGTTTCCTACTTTCTTGGGGATGGAATTATTTTTAGGGATTCTCGGAAAGGCGATCATAGCGTCAATTAGTGGTTTCGATGAAGTATTAATAGAGATATGGCTTGCCGACATAGAAAAAGAAATTCATCATTAAAATAAAATATAAAAATTAGTTTGGGTTATGATATGAAGATTAATGGAAAATATGAATTAATAATTTTTTTTTCTATAAAAGATGTATTTGCGCCTGTTAACAATAAGTTGACAATCAGCAAATGTGACAGCGATACATGAAATAATGACATGACAAGCATGGGGAAGGAAAGTACTCAGCAGTACCTCTTCCCTAACTTGTTTCAATTACTTAAGTTGTTTAAGGAAGATCTCTCATCCAACGCCTTTTTTAGTCTCCTTCTCATGTTCTGGGGTATAGCTGACATACCCCATGTCCATGTTTCTTATTAGTCTGTTATTATCATTTAAATTTGTGTAAAATCGTTGATAAAGGGTAGTTATATGTTGGAAAGTGGAGATCAGTATGTAGAGTTTTGTTAGTCACGTACCAAGGTGCTTTTGTTATGAGTCTCAATGATTTTGATTGGAACGTTTGAAGTTTTTGTAGGTGGGTCTTTTTAGCGATGCCGTATATTTGTGATGAGTACGTCCATATGGGCTTAAGTAAGTATATGTATTCAGTTTCTGTTTTAGTTTTAGTTTTGAAGATTTAGAAAAAAAGGGGGTAATTAATATAATTTGTAATTATATAATGATGAACTAATATAATTTTAAAAATAAAATAATAGTATACATAAAAATGTATATGATTCCTATTTTTAATATAAACTATTGCATTATTTCATTTTTCGTATTTGATGTATACATGTTTTCCATTTTATTAACAATTTAATTTATTTCAAAACTAAAATAAACTATTTACAAAGTTCAGGTAATATCTATATAATATCGGTATTGTTTCTCTTTCTTCAATTTCTTTTCAATATATTGTTCCACATTAAATTCTCTCGTGTTCTTTTCTAATTCTAGTCCGCGATACTCGAGAAATATTTTAAAACTTCGTACATTAAAAATTTATATTATCTCCATTAATATCCAACCATGTTTGCACGAATTATTAAACACAGTTTCTCAATAAAATCCGCGAAGTTTCCTCCATCAATGAGCTTCAATGGGTAGTTATTATCGCTCGGTAATAAGTGGCCGATGTACTCAACTTTCCTATTCATAGCGGTCCTGAAACCCTCTAGTACTTTACGGTACTTTGCCGGTATGATGGAGTACTTTCTCAATGGAATCGTGCCTGCTTCATCGGGTCTTAAGTACTGTAAGGCGTATTCACGTTTCTACAACTCACATAAAGGTCCCTTATTCATGTAACA